ATGAATCCCTTTCAAGAGAAACATTTTTAGGTTCCCAAATTTAAATAAATTCCCATGTTGCCACAACTAAGAGTAAATTTTAAGTTATATAAACATTTTTAATACATTTTATTTCAGCTTAGGCTTTGGTGCCCCATTTGCAAATTATGTGAGGCCACCTTAAATCTACTGAAGAATGTTCACAGATCACAGATGACTGGTATTTCTAGTGGACTGTGTTCCCTTACTCACCCACAGTTCTCTTATGGTATCTCGTAAGTTCTTGGTTATGCAAGAAAACCTCTAAGGTTTGAAATCATGTGAAATCTGTACCTTACTGTAACTTCAGCATCCAGATTCCACTACAGATACACAATACTACAAAGTATGGACCAAAATACAATCTTACTTCATTATCACTTAATCTGTTATAGTTTATCCCTCCATCATGTACCAAGTAATGTTTCCATTTAGAACCATCAAATCAAGCCAATCAAAAGTTCTCTTGCAATGAATGGTTTAAGACATGAAATTATCATCATCATCTATTAAGGTCAAACAATGTCTTGGGCAGGGATATTCTTAAGTCACTTGGGTTATACTTTGTTAGCCATAATTCTCAACTAGTTGTTAAAGGATCCCTGTTCAACAGATTTCTGCACTTTCACTGTTGTAATATTAGAGGATTTCATCTACAGTGGGTGATCGATTAATGAACATAATCCGTTCCAAGACTGTGTTTGCTATCTGATTAATCAAATTCCCATAAAAATCTATAGTAAATTGATAATCTGTTCTGTTCTGGAGACCCCAAAAATAAAAAATATATACACAAATGTAGTAAGAAAGTATATACTGTATTATTATTATTACATATAAATAGTCTTGCATTTTTATCAGTCATGTTTTTTCTGTTTGGACAGTCTTTAACACCCTACAATGTTGTTTGCTTTTCTCTTCAGGATTTTTTGAAAGTAATTAATAGCATTGTCTATGTAGAGGTCCCTAAGACTATTAACCTCAATCTGGTTTGGATGTCATTCTAAGACCATTGTTCTGACATCCTCCCACTTCAAAAGATTTTTAATAGCAGATGTTGGCATTAATCCTCTTTTTCAGAAGAAAACATATCTCGCCAAGTTTCTTGGCGTTCTTCTGTCGTCAGATCTGTTTCAGGTTCCATTATGAGCTTTTCAATGCTCGTTATTTCTCAGATGTGATTTTTGTTACTCCTTTAAATGCTTGAGTCTTCTTGATTATACCAGGGGTGCACAACCTGCGGCCCGCGGGCCACATACGGCCCCCTATCAATGTTTATGCGGCCTGCGGACGGTACAGGCCAAATCCCTTCTTTCGAAGTTTCTAAGTGTAGAACTTTTTCCCTTTCACAAAGTCATTAGCACCCAACTGTTTTATGACTTTCCCTGAGGTGAGAAATGGGGGATTGTTCTATAAATAAGTCTATTTTTAGCTAACACTTTCTGCTTTAGATATCGAATATTTTAAAATGATGTTAGAACGTCATTTCCGATGTTATCGGGAAGTTTCTATTTTGGCGGGAAATCTTCAATTTTATGCTTCGGAAAACTTGCCTATTCGTCTAAATAGCGTCAAATAACAAAAATAAGTGAAAATAGCGCTGAAAAACCATGAAAATAACGATTTTTTAGCATTTGTTTACATTCTAGATTCTGATTGGTATAGTCGAATTTGAATCAATCTTTTCTGAAAAGACGCTTATTCGTCAACCTAATGTCATTCAAACTAGAAAAAAACTAACCAGAGTTCAAAAAGGAATGTACAAAAAGCTATAAAACCAATAATTTACAACAATATCTCTCCATAGACAAAGAATAGAAAAAAAATTTTTCACATCAAATTTATTATTATTAAGTTGGACCAAGAAAATTAATACTGTAGTTGGAATAGAGTCATTACGACTAAAAGGAAGCCATTTGCATTAAAATATTTTGGATTTAATAATTATTACAAACCGCGTCAAGCCATAAACTTGTCAACAAAGAGGGTTGTAAAATGATTCCGTGTAGCTAGAAAGCTGCGGTTTTTTTTGTTTGAAAGAAAACAGATATATTTAGGTTATTTAAGTAGTAAATTAATTGGAACTTTTTATTTACTTTTATTTTTACATTCTTTTTTTCGTAAATTTAAAATTAAATTATTATTTTTAATTTTTATTTTATTTGAAATTTAACAGTCGTAAACTGTGATATATTTAGGACAGAAAAAAAAAAAATTGATTCTAGTGCCAATTTGAAACGAGATATCGCAATTTTAATAATTATATTTAAAATATTCAGATTTTCCACTGCACTGTGTTAATCACTTTTGATTCATTTCTGAACACGGGGGTAAAACTGACGGGCCATAAATATAATTTAGGTAAGAATGGTAACCACATTTATGATGGATTAGTGTCCTGCACCTGGCATGTTGACGATCTGACTCACAAATTCTGAGAAATGGTGGAGACGCCCGGACAGGGGTCGAACGAATTAAGACCTGCCTGGCCACGTGTGCGTAATAGTCTTCTGTCCCCGCCTCTTTAGTCTTTGGTCAGAGTGGATACAGAACAAAGCACGTGGTAGTCTAGCTTGCCTTATCTCAAACATGATTTGTTGCGGGCCTCAGAATTTTCGGCACAATGAGACATTGTTTTGCAGAGTGAACAGTATGGCGCCGGGCATTAAACGCAAGGTCAATCGCGAGAATCATCAGTTTCAAGAAGTGGAAGTGTGGACTAACAAGTACTGTTTTGTGCAACAGAACAACAGCATTATTTGCCTTTTGTGCAATGGAACAATAGCAGTGCCAAAAGAATTCAACCTGAAGCGACATCATGAAAGCCAACACAAGGATTTCCTTCTGCAAGGTACGGAACGCAAACGGAAAATCGAATCGTTACGACGATCACTAATCAGCCAACAAAATGTGTTCAAGAAACAATCTGGAGAATTGGATGCGGCTGTTGAAGCCAGCCTAGAAATATCTGCTTTAATAGCCAAGAATGGGAAACCTTTCACAGATGGCGATATGATAAAAAAGTGTCTTATCATCGCAAGTGAGATGTGTCCTGAGAAGACAGTGTTTTCAAACAATCAGTCTTAACCACATGACGATACAACAAAGAATCTTGCAAATTGCATCAGACATCGCATTAATCACTTGGAGGTCCGGCCCCCAGTCAATAAACTTAATCCTAATTTGGCCCTTCTTCAAAAAAGGTTGTGCATCCCTGATTATACTGTATCTTTCTTAGATAAGATTGAACTGTGGACTACTGTAAACCTGTTTAAGCCATACTGCCCAGCAACATCAGACATCCTCTGCCCACTCTCTACCTTTGCTATTATACTCTCACCTTTCGAAAATAAAAACCAATGTGAAACTTAGAGTGCCTGCCCGACAAATCTTGCAAATACTCTAAAAAAATTTTTTGTCAGAAAAATAAAAGGCAGGAATTACAAGGGAGAGTTTCAAAGTTTGAAGGACTATTATCCAGTTGACACTCAACCAGTTATATACTGATGTCGATGTCTCCCACACACTGAAAAGTTTCAAATTGTTGCCTGAAGACAAGGAAAGACCAATCGGTATTCGTCATTTTACGTTGCTTCTTGTTTGTTCTGTGAGGTGTTCGTTGTCCGAACATAAAAATCTTAAGTGAAAGTGTTCGTAGTCTGAACTGTTTGTTAACCAATCACCCACTGTATTAGATTTCTAGTGCATTATCAATTTTGCACTATTATTAAAATTGTATAAAGTATTGGAAAAAAGGATCACTTTCAGATGAATGTTTTGAAGATGTTAAGTAAGAAATTGCTTTATTTTAAATGTGTAATCCCCAAAGAGTATTTTCTTATAAACTTTGTTTGACATCATTTTTTAATTTATCTAGCATATTACATAGTTCTATTTTTAGTAGTGTTGAAACAAATAGTATATTCAGCTCAGGCTGAATACCAAATATTCGGGCAGGAGCGTGGCCGAATAGCCGAATATTTGGCTTGATTAATGCACATATGAAAATTGGCGCACAAACCGCATTATGGCAAGGACCCTGCTCTCTATTGGCCCGCTATCACTATGCTTGCCAATCGTGTTAATTCTTGACAGTTGTAGCAGACAGATAAGAGCGTCAAGGCAGTATGTGATAAATGATGATATCAAATGTGGATAACAATGAAATGACCTACACATGTAAATAATGGAAAAAAAACAGAGAAGGACTGCGAAAATGTAAAAATAAATATGAAATTGAGTTGATAATATAATTGAACAAGTCAAGGCAGCTTATTGGTGCAAAATTCACGGCTGTCAATGCCAAACAATTGTTGTCATAGACTTCGGAAAGCTAAATGCTTGTAATGAAAGTCACTTAGTGTGCACGGACGAAAGCCTGGGACCATTTGGATTACCAAGCTGTCTCGAATCTGTGAAATCATAACTGTGACTTATACCGACGTCCTATCTGTCTCTTTTCACCATTATTACCAGGCTATGAGTCACGTAATTGTAAAATGGGAAATCTACGATGGAAAAATGACGAATCAAAAGTATCATAAGCACGTATTATGATGTATGCATAGGCATACGTGGACTAGAGTGATAGAGGAAAGAGAAAGGGAAGAGCAAAGACAAGCACTTAAAAAGGATAGGCAGGGTCAGACCCTCAGATGTGCGACGATTTTCGACCGAATAGGTGTGTACGTGTGCTGATATTTGGTAATTATAAATTGTGAATACATGTGACTAATATTATTTTCTTTTTTATTTTGTGCATGTTATAAGTTATAAATAAATATAAACAAACAACACTAACCCGATAACATTAAATCTAAATACCAAAATGATTAATTTACTGTGTTTTTGTTATTTCTTTCTTCTGTTTTTAGGTATTCGGCCAAATAGCGAAAAATAGGCCAAATACCGAATAGTAACCGAATATTCGTTACATCACTAATTTTTAGCCATCTACAGGACTAGTATTTTTTTCATTCTAGTGAGAAATCAAGGACGCATATCACAACAGAATGTGAAATACAGAGTCCAGAGGAACCTTTGAATATGGTTAATTCTCTGGAGACTTCAGCCAATGTTTTAGATTCATGCGAAAATAGGAAGAATACGTCAGATAGTTTTGTGGAAGCCAGTAATGAGAATCATAACAACGATTTACAGGTAATTTCTTCACTAAAAAAAAAATGTTTGAAATTTATTGTTTTTATTAATGATCAGATATGTGATGATTCTGTCAGTTATATTCTATTAAAATATTACAGAATAACATGAATAAAGAAGAAGCAGAGAGTAGAAAAGAGTCAGTCCCTCCAGTCATAAGATCTCTGTCCATAGAGCAGCAAGAACGACGTTCTAAGCTAGCAGAACTTCAACTGGAAACTACACAGGTTGGGCCTCCAGTTGAATTATCTTCAAAAATAAATGGGGAGGATACAGAAAGTCAGAACAGTAATTTAGAAGATACAGGTGAACTTGCAACATCCGTGTTTTGGTTTTCTAGGTTAAATTTAAGCATTTTTCAGCTTTTTGTTTGAATAAACTAGAATTCATCTGATTTAAAAATTAAATTTTTTAATTATTTATCTTGGTATTTCAAAGTAACCCAGTCAATTCCACTTAAGGCCATGTATGTGGGTGGCAAAATTAAGAGGACATTGATAATTGCAACAGATGATTGGTTTAACCTATCGTGGGCATTCAAAGTCAAAAGAGACTACTAGTGGGAGCCACTAATCAACATTTCAATGTCACCTTAATTGTATTGCTCACGTGCAACCTTTAAAGTAGAAGTGTCAAAAATTTAGTTTATATTTTAAGCATTTTTGGAGTAACTGCTTCAGATTTCATACAAATTAGCCAAGTTTACATTGAAAATAAATAGAATTAATCCATTTTTACATATTCTCTATATAAATTCTAAAAACTGAAAATTGCTTAAACAGGAAACTAAACTTGTGCATCATTTTAAATAAAGGAATATTTTCAGATCAAGACGATAGTACTAGCTATAGTAGTTCTTTTGACAGTCGTAACGATTTGCAGCAAGCAATTGAAATGTCATTACCGTCTTGGATAATTCTTGGTGAAAGCGTTATGATTAGTCCATATAATAAACTGGGAGTTGTTGCTTACATTGGTCCAACTGAATTTGCACCTGGCGCCTGGATAGGCATTGAGCTTGATACTCCAACGGGTAAGTAATTTCTTGAATGCACTAACAAAACAAGTTTTATTCTTATTGAGAGGGGGAATGTAATTTCGTTGTAGGTAAAAATGATGGTTCAGTTAACGGTATCAGATACTTCCAATGTAAGCCACGCTTCGGAATTTTTGTTCGTCCTGACAAACTTGTCTTAGATAAAAGGGGCCGAGCAATAAGGGCAGCTCGACAAAGTTCATCCACATCTGGAGGTAAAGACGGTTTGTGGAGATCAAGGAGCAAAGGAGAAGGTAAACTCTATCCTGGTATTTTTAAATATAACATTTCAATAATTAAAGAAAATTAAATGGTACATTAATTAATTACATTTGATACGGAAGGACTCTCATCCATTACCGATAATTCCATCCGGCGGAGTAGAAGTCGCGGAGAGGGCTTATCTATGCTCGGCACATCCTCAGATAATTTACGTCGAAGCAGAGGAGAAGGAATTGCCAAGTTATCCGAGCCATACCACGACGGGAACCGAAGTCACCACAAAGACGGAGGAAGTGACAACGTGAACAAACCATCAGGGTACCGTGGAAGGAAGTGAAAGAACTGGGAAGAGCACAGTCCAACAGTAGTTTGATTCCCTCTTTCAGACACAATTGTTCTCTCCAACAATTGAAATCAAGTGTTGGAGTTAACTCTGCCAGTAATTTAAGCCTTGAGATGAAGGTTCGGAATTGTAGGTATTTTCTCTAGTTTCTGCTATGTGAAAGTTACATCATACTTGTCCATTACTTGCTCTAGATAATATTTGCCAACATTTACCTTGCAAAACAAAACAAAAAAAAAATATATATATATATATTATATATATCATGTTTGATATGATTTTTTTATTTGGGTAAACAAACAAAATCCATTTTATGTTATTGTTGACATTATGAAATTTTATTAAGTTAATCATTGTCTATAGATGCAGCTATTCGTGCATTTTTATCTTATAGAAATCACTGTACATTGGGTGATCTGTTGTTTATATTGTTCTGATACAGTGATTTATACAGTTGAATTTCTTATTAAAGAGAATCAACAGGGGGTTATAGAAAAATAACTTGTATATTAGATGTATATGCAGGGGATTTTTGGCTTGTCTTCAGTTGCACATTCATCACTTGCTACTAGCTTTGTTTTCAGAGCATTTTTGACAAATCTTTACCTCTTAAAATCCAATTACAGTTGGCAAGAAAGTCGATGGGAGTTGTAAATCTGTGATAATGGTTATACATTCCAGATGTACGTTGCCGGTTAGATCACTTGCTCAAAAGAAATCTACAAAACTCGAAAGCACCCCTTCGGAAGGCCGTACAGCCAAAACTTCCATCATGATTGTGTTTAATTCTTTAAAGATGTTTTCCATTTTTTAAACTTTATTAGTATTTTTTTTTAAATTTTTTTTATAGTTTTTTCCTCATTGACTGAAGACTGCCCAAAAACTTTATTTCTACAGATCTAGACTGGGTTAAAATAAAGATCCTGTCGTGTAAATATAACAAACTGGTAGTGTTGATGGTGGTTGTAATTTAAATCTCGTCTCTGTGAACTTGACTGTAAGTTTTCATCCATTTTCATGTGAAAAATTTATTGGTGTACATACTTTATACTAGATAAAACTGGTCGCAGCGAGAACTTTGGCAAGTGATAGATGTTCGATAAATGGATAGGTCACTGGATTTGTGATACCAGTATTCAAATAGTGTCAATTAACTAGAATAATGACCATTCCACCGTTCCATAGTGTATTAGTATGGTAGCTGCGAGGCAGTTTCCTTCGATATCACAGTGAACGTCCATTGTTTATTCATCTGTATTTTGTAGGAACTTTTACCCAGCCATGTCTGTGGATTTAAATTGTTATTTAATATATGATGGGACTTTAAATCAGAAAGTGTAATTATGTGGACTACTGTTAACTCCAAGTGTTAACATCTACTGGCAAGATTATTTGATAAAAAATAATTTCGGACCAGTAGGAAAAATAAAATCTTCAGTATCTCTCTGTCTGTGAATAAATTAAGTCAATAAACTGTTACTCCAGATAAAAAAGTGCTTCTATGATTTTTTTCCTCAATTAGAAATGGTGATGCCGAACATGTGTTAAAAATTATCATACAACAAAACTCAACATTTTACATTTTTCTTTATTTATTTCTTAAAAATGTTGACACACATTCATTTTCCACTCTTGCTTGGTAGAATTATACCATCGTACTAAAAATAAAGTTTTATTAATGAAGAAATCAATGTTTTTAGTCTGTGTGGTACGAATTTAATCTTATTAAACACTCACCTTCTGTTGAAACCATTTCATAGCTTCTTCTTTGCCCAATCTGTGGCCAAAACCTATACGTCCTTTCTTGTGTCTTCTATGGGCAACATTGAAACCTGGCCGACCAAGAACTACGTAAAAATCAAGACCGTAGATACCGATGCTGGGATCGTATTTGATTCCAAGATCAATGTGTTCCTGAATACCAAAACCAAAATTTCCAGTGTCCGAGAAGTTGTCTTTCCTCAACTCGTATTCTCGAACCTACAAAATTTTTTTTTATAAATGTGTTGCAACAAAGAACTAATTTTAAACATTCTTAAAACATTTATTTTCAATTAATCTACTAAACAATTCAACCTTAATAAACCAATGGCCCAATCATTTTTAAGAAATAAATCAACCATAATTTTGCTCATTAAGAGATGGGTTAATTTCCCAATCCACACTACATTTACTACCCCACTAATAAATTGAGACCTCGAATGGATTCAAACCTAGATCTTCCACAGATTTAACTTACTTTGATTTGTTGGCCTTCTGGCCAACAACCAAAATAAGGTGTCAGGTTATGTAATGAAAAAATCTCTTATATTAGTTTTACTTTTAAACTAAGAATCCACAAGTATGACAATGAAATAACTGCATTTTGATACAAGTAAAACACAGTTAAATAATAGTTCATGTACATTTAATGGAAAATTCAATAAGTCTTATCAAATTTCTAAACTATATGTAGAATCTAATTTTGCATATAAACTTTCTCACTATCAATTTATTTCACACAACAGTATTTACGTGTTCTTTAAAAATGCATCTAGTGCTGTATGTAGGTTTTCAAATTTCAGGTAATACTTTATTCAGGATGGATGTAATAAGAACAAACACAAACATGGTCTTTTTTTCTTATCCCTACATATACAACACGTGTTTATGAAATATATTCAAATATAGCTAGAAATTTAAACTTTTACATAATAAAATATATTATAAATAAAACTAAAAAGAATTTTCATAAATTTTAGCAACATCGCAATCAGTTCAGCAATAACAAATTGATATTTATTGTGAATGTTGTTATAAAATATTTGACATTTTTAATGCCTTTTGTATATTTTGTTAAAAAAGGAATTTAAATGTTATAGAAGTGTTAACAGTACAACAATATAATAATAGCAACTGCTGTATCCAAAAGGTTCTGTGATCTACTGCCTGAAGTTTGTTCTCTGGTTTTGAAATCTGTCTGTATCACAGGCTATATTGTGACAAATATCAGAATACTTCCAGACATGACAGGACTAATGCACTAGCATTGCAGTCCAATATATCTATCCAGGGTAGAAATAAGATACAGTAGAGCATCGATTATCCGACTCAATTGGGGATTTGGGTTGGTCAGATAACCGAAAAGAATGAAAAAAATACATTATTAGTATAGTATATCCCATGTAATTAGTATATCGCTATTAACCTACTTCATCGATGTTAAGCATAACAAAATTTTTTTAAAAATAATAATCGTCACTATTGTATCGTTAAAAATTATTTTTAAATTATTTTATTGCTCACAAAACAAACAACCACTCATAATTAGAAAATTAAGTCTCATTTAAATACTGGGCTCCCTTTCATGTTGAGCCAGTGTTGCCAGCTAAAACACACAAAAATTTAACAAAAATAATATTAAAGTAGTCAAGACATACCCAAATATTGTAGCGCCACATTACTAGCAGACATTTGAAATTTGCCAACCAGAACGGTCGGATAACCGATGCTCTACTGTATTTAAGTAATTTGCAAAGACCTTATCTGTATACTACTATGTGATACTCAATACAATAGTCTATCTATTAATGTGTTGTAATACAAAGCATAACAGATTGGACCAAATACGCCAGTTCTGATGATCTTGTTTCCAAAACGCATAAAATCAAGGGTTAGAACAGTCAAAAAACTATTCTACACATTACTGTACATGTTCAACATACAGTCAAAATTTGGTATTATCAATTACATCAATAAATGATAATATAAAGTAAAATATACAGCTAGAAAATATTATTTTATAAAAAAATTTAAACAGAAATTTTTATTAACTGATTCATTGATAAAAACAGCAACAACACACATCTTATTTATGAAAAAATATTGTACTGATTAAATTTTTCTTCTTCCCAAAAATAGTCTTTGGTTTTCACATTTAAAATTGGATTCATGAATGTATGATGTCATAAGTAACAACACACTGACAATATTTTTAAATGTGAGTTTCGATGATTTGTTATAGATGAAATTCACAAAGTCACCTTACAGCATTGCAAATGACAAAGTGACTAGCATATGGAAATGTCGGCACTTCCATTGGCTATGGTCAATATATTATAAATTGTACTCCTTGTGAACATTACTCCTACACTTGTTGAGTAGGAGTAATGTTGGAAAGAGGATTGTAATAGAAAAATTAAGAAATTCTATTCTTATTTGGTAGAAACGAAATTGTACTATAAATTATCCTTATTTCATTTACCCACAAATTTGATTGCATATTAATAAAGTCTAATGCAAATGATGCTCATCACTAATACAAAGTATATAGGCTGGTTTTTTCCCCAAGCTCTGATGGTCCATAAAAAAAAGACAAGTGTAAATAACAAAATGAATTTATTACCAAAAGTTAGGTACAAAAACATGGTTACTTATCGACATAATCACCATGAAGATTGAGGCATTTGTCATATCTATGGACGAACTTTACCATCCCCTTGTCATAAAATGTTGCCACCAATGACTCAAGATGGGCCCTAATGTTTTTTTGATGATTGTCATTAGTCTTGACCTCTACCCTCCTAGCCACTTTTCCTGTTCAGAAAAGAGGTGGAAGTTGCTTGGCACTAAATCAAGGCTGTGTGTTTAAAGGTGGTGAAGACTTCCACCTCTTTCCTGAACTGTAAATGTGGCTAGCAGGGCAGAAGTTTGGAACTAAAGATGATCTTCAAAACAACATTGTTAAGGCCATCTCAATTCACTGACAGCAACATTCTATGACCAGAAGATGGAAAAGCTCGTCCACAGATATGACAAATTCCTCAATCTTCATGGTGATTATGTCGAAAAGTAACCTTGTTTGAACCTAACTTTTGGTAATAAATTCATTTTGTTATTTACACTTGTCATTGTTTTACCATCAGAACTTGAAAAAAACTGCCCTCGTAATATACTTTCATTAAATTTTATATGAAACATTACAAAGTATATCTAATTCACCCGTGAACAACTCTTGACCCCTGGACTTAGAAAACAGGAAAATAAAATTTCATTGCTAAAGTCTCATACAGGGTTCCTACTCAAATTTTTGTTTTGAATTCCCTGACTTTCCCTGATTTTCCCTGACCAACTTTGTCCAAATTCCCTGACCCTCACATTTTTTAGTGTGGAATATCGACATAATAAAACAGCATTTACTGTTAACATTGAGTACATTTAGCCCTCTTTTTGCACAGTTGATATGCTTCAAAGACTGCCACATTAAAAAAATACAGTACATACATCCTGTAGAAAAATGTTTGATAGAATCCACAATTTCAATGTAATGAAAAAATAAGCAATTTACAAACAAAACACAAGCTTTTTATTTTATCATCATTTATCATTATTATTTGTATGTAAATCTAGTAAATAC